GGGAAGTTGTAAATCACGGTGACTCAATGGTTCAGCAGACAGGACCAAATGCAGGTGCGAACAAGGAATCTGCCCACTTTGGACATAATTCCCGCACTGCCGCCGCCGAGGTTCAAACCTTGGTCTCTTCTCCCAAATACTGCCCACTAAACCATTGAGCTAAGCCCGTGCGGGTTAAATAGGTAATTCTAAGTTTACAAATGCAAGATAATATAGTCAAGATTGATTATAATTGTCAATAAAATAATTGTATAGGTATGTTTGAAACCAAATACGGGACATAAGAGAGAACAAATAAAAATTAGGGCATAAAATATTAAATATATACTAATATTGTTTGAGGAGATTTCGACATTAGGATTTGTGGTTAAGTTCTATTAAGACTTTAATATTAGAATTAGATTAATGGTGTAATTATAATTCTATATTAGACGTTAATATTAGAATTAGACTAACGGTGACGGTATTTAACGAAAAAGTTAAATGAATAATCATATAATTAAAGATAAATTAGAAAAACTTTAAAAAAAAATTAAAACCTGAACAATTTGAACCATTCATTTGATTTAATAATTGATGAATTTGAATGTAAAAATTTTTACATTTGAGAAAAATAAAGACAATATAACTAATGAAAATATTTCTCTTAATTAATTTATTGATAATGAATAATTTTTTCACTGAATTAAGACATTGTAAGGACAATGTAGCGAATATAATCAATTAATAAATTTGAATATAAAGAAAATTTTATATTGTAGAACAATAAAGACAATATAACTAATACAATTATTTCTCTTATTTAATTTATTGATAATGAATATTTTTTTTTTGAATAAAGGCATTGTGGACACATAATTCTAAATTAAATAAATGCATATCTATAATTTTTTGTTGTAGCTACTAAATTATTATTAATTTAATAAGAGTAAAATAGAGTACTAATTATGCCAACTTTGATTGGGATGAGGTTCGAACCTAAGACCTTTTTTTTTTATTGAAATCAATGAGTAAGTTAACGGTGAACTAACGGCAATTCTTAAAATTTTAACGGAATTAGTAACGGTGTGTGGGTATTTTAGGAAATTTTAGTGTACAATTTAAATCTTATCAATCTTTTAATCAATCTGAGCCATTCATTTGATTAAAATCTATGACCGCCATTTTTTCTACCCATTATAGGCCTAACTCTCTTGGGCTCTTATTAGTATAGTAGATACTGCCCACTAAACCATTGAGCTAAGCCCGTGCGGGTTAAATAGGTAATTCTAAGTTTACAAATGCAAGATAATATAGTCAAGATTGATTATAATTGTCAATAAAATAATTGTATAGGTATGTTTGAAACCAAATACGGGACATAAGAGAGAACAAATAAAAATTAGGGCATAAAATATTAAATATATACTAATATTGTTTGAGGAGATTTCGACATTAGGATTTGTGGTTAAGTTCTATTAAGACTTTAATATTAGAATTAGATTAATGGTGTAATTATAATTCTATATTAGACGTTAATATTAGAATTAGACTAACGGTGACGGTATTTAACGAAAAAGTTAAATGGATAATCATATAATTAAAGATAAATTAGAAAAACTTTAAAAAAAAATTAAAACCTGAACAATTTGAACCATTCATTTGATTTAATAATTGATGAATTTGAATGTAAAAATTTTTACATTTGAGAAAAATAAAGACAATATAACTAATGAAAATATTTCTCTTAATTAATTTATTGATAATGAATAATTTTTTCACTGAATTAAGACATTGTAATGACAATGTAGCGAATATAATCAATTAATAAATTTGAATATAAAGAAAATTTTATATTGTAGAACAATAAAGACAATATAACTAATACAATTATTTCTCTTATTTAATTTATTGATAATGAATATTTTTTTTTTTGAATAAAGGCATTGTGGACACATAATTCTAAATTAAATAAATGCATATCTATAATTTTTTGTTGTAGCTACTAAATTATTATTAATTTAATAAGAGTAAAATAGAGTACTAATTATGCCAACTTTGATTGGGATGAGGTTCGAACCTAAGACCTTTTTTTTTTATTGAAATCAATGAGTAAGTTAACGGTGAACTAACGGCAATTCTTAAAATTTTAACGGAATTAGTAACGGTGTGTGGGTATTTTAGGAAATTTTAGTGTACAATTTAAATCTTATCAATCTTTTAATCAATCTGAGCCATTCATTTGATTAAAATCTATGACCGCCATTTTTTCTACCCATTATAGGCCTAACTCTCTTGGGCTCTTATTAGTATAGTAGATATTGTCCAATGAAACCGTAGTTGAATTAGAATTATAATTTAGTGGTGTTGTAATAAGACTATAGTGTGTATAAAATAAAATTCAATAACATGTCTCACTGTAATAAGACTATTGTATATATAATGTTGAATTAAACTGCAGTTATTCTTAAATGAAACTATAATGTATATAAAATAAAACTAAATATGTTATATAAGCAGAGCTAATTATGCAGAACAATTGTCTTTTCTTTTCATTAAAGGAAACGCCATCGTTTTGAACCATGATCAGCAGTAAAATTTGCCAATCAAAATTCCCTGACCTAATTATCAAATTTTAGTACATAAATGACAAAATGCCAAAGATAAGCCATGTAAATGTAAGTCCAAACTAACAATCAACTAACATTAATATAATATATAATGGACTTGACCTAAATCTTGTGCCACCTAGGTGGAAAGTGTCACACATTTTCCATGAAAATGACCATTAGATGCAAAGTGGGGCCCACAACCCATACTTATACACATAGTTAAGCATCAAACAAAAGGTTTAAGGAAAATCTATGGATGATTAACCTTAATTGACTCGCTACTCATTCCATTCATAAACTCTCCTTTTTATGTCGGGTCTGGTACACCTACAACGTTACCCTTTTGTCCTCAAAAAAATAAAAAATAAAAATAAAAAAATTCCGATACCATAAATTCATTTGTAATAATTAACGATTTCTTTTTTATAAGCGTTAAAAATTATTATGTTCGACTGTGTTATTAAATATCTAACAATAGAGTAATTTTATAATAGTTATGGTTGGTTTTATGAGTATTGAGTTAGTCAATTGGCGGGTCAACATTACCGTAACAAATTATTACCGTAAAATAAAATACTACATCTAAACCAATTACCATATAGTGTGATAACACCTCTGTTACCATTCAAAAATGGACGATTGCATGATCGAAACACTGATTTAAAATAGGTCATTGGGAGTTGAGGAGTCCATGAATGCCATTGACGGCATTGAGTCAGATCACCAACCGGCGCAGGGTGTTCAACTTTGTCCTAGCGATGTGCGGATAGCTATTGACATAGCGATGGACAGTACAAATTGTCACATGGGGTTTGGGTGGAGTATCTTGGACTGGGATGGTACGGTTTTGGGGGTTGTGATGTTTGCCAGAAAGGGGTTGTATATGGTTAAGGAGGCTGAGGCATTGGGGGCTAGGGAAGCGTTAAGTTGGATAAAAGACAGAGGTTGGGGGAGGGTCATTCTGGAGACAGATGCTCAAATTGTGACGAGAGCGACTCGCCATTTGGTTCTATTGTTGAAGAGATTTGTGAGCTGCTGCGTCAATTGTCAATGATTACTTTTCCTTATGTGCGTCGTAACAATATTATGATTGCTCATTATTTAGCCAAGAGAGCTCTTAGATGTGTAGGGGAGGATGTTTGTGAACTTTCCCTTATGTAACAGTTCTGGTTATTATTAATATATTATGGAGTAAATACCCAAAATGGTCCCTCAACTATAGCTAAATTCACAAATTGGTCCTCGACTTTCAATTTCAACCAATTATGTCCTTAACTTTGTAATTTTAACACGATTTGATCCTTCGAACACTTCTGCATTAACGCCGGCGCCCGCGCCGTCATCGACGATCTCCAGAAATACTCGCAGCTCACCGGAGCACATGGAGGCCTCTAGGATGACGCTGCACCGGTTCGGAAACACGTTGTCTTCTTCACTCTAGTACGAACTCAACTACATTAAATCCAAAGGGAGGATGAAGAAAGGCGACAGGATTTGGCAGATTGCTTTCGGCGGTGGATTCAAATGTAACAGTGCGGTCTGAAAATGCAACCCGGAACCTTAAAAAATCAACGATGGACCATGAAATTACATATATATCCTCAAAAATCACAGTCAACAAACGGTCAAATAGACGGAGGACCAAATCGTGTTAAAATTGCAAAGTTAAGGACTTAATTGGTTAAAATTGAAAGTCAATGACCAATTTATGAATTTAGCTATAGTCGAGGGACCATTTTCGGTATTTACTCTATATTATGTTTGGTTGGTTTTCAAAAAAAGAAGAGGTCATTGGCACATATGCATCAATTAATGGAAGAGAACTGGATAAATTTTTATAAGATTACTCAATTTTTCTTAACAATTTTTGTAATATATATCTCATTAATATATGATGGGTTCAGTCAGTGACATGATTAAAATTGTTACTTTGTAAATTAAAAAAAAAAAAAAAAGGTAATAATTAAAATATAAGTATAATTACAGATGATAACTTTTATTTTTTCATAAATTTTATTGTAGATTAATTTTAGTTGGTAAGAGAATCTTATCCCATTCTTGAAAGTCATTAGTAGTTTTTTTATTAAGTTGATAATGACATATGCCGTATTATATCATGCACAATAATCGATGAAATTTTACGCAGTACGTAGACTTTTTGCTTGAGGTATAATTATATTATTAAGCAATCCTTATAGTCCACAGTACACACAACTGTATGTATATATAATTATATAAACATATTTATTTAAAATATTTCAATATAACCCTAAATTACTTTTTAAGAAAATAAAAATAATCATATTACTTTGAAACATTATCTTCACATCAACTTTAGAATAATATAATACTCTGTATTACAAATAATCTCATAAATTAAACCAAACAAAATAATATAATATTATCATATTAACTGAACCAAATGCCTCTTGAAATTTCCATGCAACATAGCCGTCCAACATGTTTCATCATGTTACAAGTACAGATTGCGGTGGCTCAAAATCTTCAAAATTGGGCCAAAGTAATTAGGTTTCTTACTACAAATTAGCATTTCGTCAAAGCACTATTCCTTTGAAGGGGAAAACCCAAAACTACAACATAAGAAGTAAAAAAGAGCGATGATCATATGCGTTCTCAACAGTCAATAGGGGCGGAACTATTTACGAAATCTCCACAACCACCGGATATTAAGCATTTTGGACAAAGCTTCTACTTTGTTCAATTGGTAAACAAAAACCGGGGTCCTGTCAATCCACGATCTGCAGAAGAGCCTTGCCTTGCAAGCGTCTGAATACGTGAAGAGAGATCCTCAGCCTGAACAAATTTGCAAACAGCCACGGATGTTAGGCGGGCTGCTATCAACACTAACAGCATAAACGAATGAATTCAATAACTATATTACAGCCGAAACAATGGGATTAATGTCTAACTTCAACGCACTCATCTAACCCCACCCACGCTTAATTTCTAGCAAATAAGAGCACAATGCAAAGTTGTATTTGTACCAAATGTTGAGTCAAATAACGAGGAATGGCATGCCATATATAACTCAGCATATTTAGTAGATACTCAATAAATTGAACCACCATATGATGATTTAATAAGTAGATAGATCGGGGACAACCCCAGCCAAATTAGTTAGGCTGTGTTAAAAGTTCGACTCCTAGCGAGTGTGACCTATTAGCCTTCTTGGTTTGAGCCAGTTAAATGCCATCCGATGCAAAGCACACATTTCAATGGATGAAAAATTGTATACAACAAACATTCTTGCAGTCCACGGGGGAAAGTAAAAAAGACAAATTTCAAAGAAACCAGGCACAACCGCACAAATAATATGAGTGTACTGTATGTATAGTTATTACCTTTTCATCAATCCAGACCAGTGAACTCAACTGATTGTTCAAAATGCGGACAACAACATCAAGTGGATTCACGCCATCGGTTAGTTCTCCACCCTACACAATAAAGAAAGAAAGATATTCATCTAATACAGTCAGCATGCAAGATACCAATGTGAAACAAAGTCCTCCGAAGAAAATCATCAAGTAGGCAGTATGGGACCTGGTTTGCATTAAGAGAATTAATGATCAACTTTATCTGCTCCATCATCTTTTCCATTTCCCTCTCTACAAATTCTGCCTGTTCATACCTAAAATAAATGCCAAAATGATAACCATGTTATTAAATACTTGATTGATACCAGTGAATACATCTTTACATTAAAGAAAGGTTTTCCAATTACAAAATGCTGGAAAACTAGGTATTGAGTTTGACAGGTCCATATATCCATAAGCTTCGAGTCCACAAAATACGCTAAAATATGAACTACAAAACAAAGTATTGCCTTATAAACTCACATTGCATCTCTTGTATATGCAGCTTCATCATCAAGAAGCATTTCACGCTCATCTTTATATATCCGTTCAGCTTCTTCTTCCATACTCTGCAATGCCTTGTCAACCTAAGGCAGATAAAACAAATAAGCTTCTGAAATAGCGCCAACCTTCCATGAAAAATTCACAAGCAGCTTGAATGCAATCAATCAGTGAAGACAATCACCCACACATATTATAATGCAGGTATACATGCATGCATACATACATACATATATAGGTATTGGATCAAATAAAAAGAGGCGCTCAAGTAAAAAATGGGGTGAGATCTCAGTCCTTGATCTGGTATTCTGGTCCAGATCAACACCGCTGATCAGCCCTTGATCTGGTCCAGAAAAATTTCGAAGTTGAGGTGCGCATAGATTTATACTACAAAGTGTATAAGTTTTATACTACAAGTGCATAAGTTTATACTACATGTTTATAAACTTATGCACCTGTAGTATAAAACTTGTGCACTTCAAAGTTAGAGATATTTACAAAAATGCCACCACAATTTCCTAAACTAATTTTGAAAGTGCATAAGTATATAATATCAAGTGCATAGACTTATACTACAAAGTTTGAAAAATTTTCCTTTTTTAGAGCCGTTGATCTGGATATCATCCCATTTTTTACCTGGGCACCTCTTTTCACATGATCTCACCCCTATACATACATACATACATACACACACACACACACACACACACACACACACACACATATATATATATATATATATATATATAATATCAAGTGCATAAGTATAAGACATCTCCAACACTGATAGCAATGCAGAGGCTTCAGGGACTCAAGATGCATAAGATAAATATAGGAGAACCCTGCTACTAACATACCTCATCTTGATGTGTCTCAATTAACTCAAGATGTCGATCTAGGCTAGCCTGTGTCTCAACAACCTTTGCAACTTCACTCTGACACAAAATAAAGTGCAGACATTGAATGAAATATTCCACAGAAACCACACAATTAGATGAGATCGCACCATATTAAAGAAATACTTTGTCCAGCCTAGTTATGATGAAAGAGATGATAAGATGCCAAAGATGAATGTTTTATAGATACCAAATGCACATGGTATGGAGATTTTCAACTTACATCTCCAGTCTACTGCATTCTGGCATTACATTAAGTACATTAACAATTCTCATTTACACTAAAGAATATAAAACCTCAAGCTTAAGGAGGACATCACGGTTTTGTAAGATCCTCCTGTCCCATTCAGCAATTGCATTGGCTTGCTTTCGGAAATTTGTCGTGCGATCCTGCAGCTCTGCATTCCATTCCTTGATGACCTTCCAGAAACAAAAAACACATAATAACACGTTTGCTATTTAGACAGCTCTATACAACAACAACACAAAACACGTGGAAACGACCCAAATGCAATCAAGTATTAGATAAATTGATATCACAACGAATACCAGTCTAATTTGATATTTGATAACTTACCTCCTCTATAGTTTTTCCAGTAATTTCAGATGGTAACTTAGGTGAGGTCCCTGTTGCAGCACTTGTACTCAGCGTAGTCCTGTAGGAGAAAGTGGCAAACCAGAAGAAAGCAAAGCAATCAGGTCCAATATTGTAAAGATAGTCTTCTAAAATATATACAATAGGAAGAGATGCCTAAAACCGGTTTGTTTATCATCTCTTTACTATACAATTAAACCTCAGTAAGCACACTTAAGTTTGAGCAATCTGAGTATGAAAAGATATTAGATTGGGTAGAGCCCCATGCATACCCACTACTAGTTGTTGCTATTGGAGCAGATGCTGTTTGAGCAGCAGAAGTGGAATTAGAAGTGAATCCACCTGAGGAAAAGGTTTACAAGAAGAATTTAAAAAATTGAATATTTGAATTGCATCAAAGAAGCACTACACATAAGTGAATGGAAACAAAAGAAATACAAAAGGTTAAGAATGAAAAAAGGAGGAATACACTATATATTAATCATTACAAATTCCAGGAAGCAGCATGAAAGATTGAAGATCATGTAAGTATACAGTTTTTATATAACCTTTATAAGGCTCTAAGGATATTTTGTAGTTCAAAATAGCATTCATTCAATAATGAGATTGGTTCAGTCCAGTCTGCTTCTATTTTCCAGTTTATGAGATGGTAAAAGAATCTTAATATGGTTACAGAATTAACTGCAGACATACAAACCAGTCATTTGGACAATAATGTCTTATATTATATCTAGAACTTGTTTGCAGAGTAAACACAAAAAATCTAAAAGTTGCACACCAAGGATATTACTATAGTAATTAGATAGCAAGATTATATCCCAGACTAATTTATTACCCAAAAAAACTCACCAAGGATTGGTAATGAACTTGACTGCGGTTGTGAAGATGGAGCAGTTGATGGTGTTTTTAAAGACATTGAAAAAGAGCTCGCAGGCACAGTAAATGAAGGTGCATTTGTGGTACTAAAACCAGAAATAGCAGTTGCACTAGTAGCTGAAGAAGAAGAACCAGCAACAGCAGGAAATGTCGAAGACAAACCAGTGCTAGAAGCAGCAGAAGATGCCACACTACCAGCAGGAATTGAAGCACTGGCGGTTGTAGTAACTGTTGAAAACTGAGGTGATGAAACAGTTGAAAGGTTTAAAGCAGCAGGCTTTGAAGCTACACTACTCGAGGTAGCTGACACTAATGTTGATGTTTGAAGACTAGATGAAGTCCCAAACGAAAAGGCAGATACACCCGAAGATGATGAATTCAAGCTAGGAATTGTGACGGAAGAAACTGAAGTGGTTGAAGCAGTTCCAGCCACATTTGAAAATGAAAATGTTGAGCCCGAAGTGGACAAGAAGGGTGATGAAGATGCAGAAGATGCTGAGGAGCTTGAGCCAGGAGTAATGGAAAATGAAAATGTAGGTGCAGCAGATGCTGTCGAACTCAAAATTGAAGCACTGGATAACGAGAATGCTGGCATGGAAGGCGTTGAAGTCACACTTGAGGTGTTGGGCAAAGAAAATGCTGGTGCCGAAGATGCTGAACTTGTGGTGGAAGCTGTTGGGAAAGAAAATGATGGCGCAGAAGATCCTGAGCTTGGGAAGGAAGCACTGGAAAATGATGCTGTTGATGCTGAAGACACAACGCCTGTAGATGAAAACGAAGATGATGGCAAACTGCCAGCTGCTGTGGTGGGAAACAGAAAACCAGAGGCAGAAGAAGCTGAGCTTGAAGCTGAAGATACCGAAAATACAGGGGTTGACAAAGCTGATGATGCTCCAAAAGCAGGAGCTGATGTCCCAAACGGTGATACAGTAGAGGGCACTGTACCTGAATTAGATGAAGATCCAGAGCCCAAACCTGCACCAAACAAACTTGATGAGCCTGAGGAAGACCCAAAAGGTGTAGAAGCTCCAAAAGAAGTTGTTGCTCCAAACATTGGGGAACTAACGGAGGTTGTGGTCTGGAGGGAAGAAGCAGATCCAAATAAATTTGTTGAAGATCCAGAACCCAAAGAAGCTCCAAATGCATTGGAAGTGGTAAACGCGCCAGATCCAAATGGTGAAGTAGAACCTGTAGTAGCAGATGAAGCTGTGGTGGCAGAAGAACCAAAAGAAGTGGTAACCACACCAGATCCAAATGCTGATGCTCCGGAACTGGAATTAGCTCCAAATATGGTTGGAGTGGTACCCACACTAGGTCCAAATGGCAAAGTAGTACCAGTAGTAACAGATGAAGTTGTGGCAGCAGAAGAACCAAAAGAAAATGCGGGAGCAGAAGAGGCAGTGCCAAATCCAAAACTGGTGGATGAAGTAGCGAAGCTAGGGTTTGACATAGAAAACCCAAATGGGGACGAGGATGAGGTGGTGGCAGCGGCACTAGGGGTTGAGGTGAAGGATAAAGGTGAGGAAGATGATGAAGAGTTGGAAAAAGAGAAGCCCGTGGCCATTGTAGAAGTCAGTACACCTGCAGAAAATGTTTATAACATTAATAAGTGAAGTACACCTAAGAAGCATTGCAAATAAATTCATTAAAACAAAAAAAAAATGCAGAAAGCTAGGGCATATATTCACCATTACAATTAGTGCTAGGGATAACCATGTTTTATATAGATCTATAACTTGACTGTGAAGTATGCAGAACAAATGTAGAATTTGTGTACTTTAGCCATTTGAATTCAAACGCTAAACTAAAAAGACAGACAAGAATGCCAGAATTAAATTAAACTAAAAATTATTAATTTTAAAAACTTAGCATTATCTCAAAAACTGGTTGCTAAATTCTATTAATGCCAATGCTTTCAATCATCAGTTATTCCAAATACTCAACATTAAATGCAGGATACAAATAAAAAGAATTTAAAAAAAAAAAAAAAAAAAAAAAAAGGCTTTTCCAAATAAATTTTAGAATAAAGTACATAACACACAAAACAGTTTCCTCTGGTAATCTGGTTGCAAACTAATTTCTATTGAGACATTAAACAAGCAAGAAATTGATTAAGTGAATCAACTACAACCATGAAAATGCATATGAAAGACAATCACGTGATTCACGTCTAATGCATATAGTACAAAACCAAATCAAACTATAGAGATTTTAAATCAAACTCCATGAAATGCTTCAAAAAGTTCGAATGAAACCCAAAACCACAATACACGAAGTTTTTGCATCCAAATACAACAACAAAAGTTCAGCTTTAGGGTGGCATAATATTTAAATTATTTGGCTAACATATCCTAGTGCTAACTGTCAACCTAAAACAACCACCATCCATGTTACATCCGAATCAAAGAACCTGTTTATAGTAAGAGATTCCAACCATTTCTTCATGCCAAACATGTAGTCCTCGTTAGAGCCGTCAAAACGGGCCAGTCCCTTTTTATGTGGTTGGGATTTCACAACCCAACCCGTGATCTGACCGGCTAGCCCGCCAGCCCGTCCTTTTAAAAAACAAATTAAATACGGAGTACAAAATTAGTAGTTTAGATGTTTAGTACATAAAAATTCATATGATCGGTTGGCTGCTGCTATTAATTTTAAATTATTGATTTACTATTCACACACCTATCTAATATTCTAAATTTCTAATACACGAAATTGGTATCTATATTCAAAGTTTTCAACACAAAAATCAACAATCAACAATTCAACATTCAAACTTCAAAGTTTTCGAGTTCCATACTTCCATTCATCATCATAATTCATAATTATCTTCATCATCAAAGTCACAAACTGTCAAAGACTCAAAACTCCAAAACAACTAAAACAAGTAACAAAGGTTCAAAAATTATGCATTAACAAGTAACAAAGGTTCACAGAATAGACAAATTATGTAATTTATGTTCACAGCTCACTGTTTCACAGAATCACTATTCATTAACAAGTAACAAGTAACATTATGTTCACAGAATCACAGTTCAAGACTTCAAGTGTTTAACATTATGTTCACAGTTCACAGAATCACAAAGCTTAGTTACTAAAAATTGTTTAGTGCGAATGTGAGAGGGATAAGGAGTGAAGGACGAACCGCAGTAGCCAGTAGGGAGAGAGACCGGAGCTGGCAGCGCGTAGGTCGCCGGTCGCTGGTCGGAAACTCGGAGTTCGCAGTCGGCAGTTCCGGCGTTCCACTTCCGCTTTGCCTAATCGCCTTCGCAGAGAGCAGAGAGTGAGTCAGAGAGATTAGGGATTTAAATTTTTAGGGGAAATGACCAAATGAGGAAATCGGTTTAGTCTTTTAGACTTTGTGAAGGACAGGGCCGGGTTCGCGGAAAATATTTTAAGGAAAATTGAATTGAAATTATTAAAAAAAAAAATGAATTTCAGTAGGTGAAAAAGTAATTCTATTATTTAGTTAGATTTAAAATTGTAAAAAATAACGAGAATAAAAATTTATATGCCTTTTCAAATTAATAAGAGTAATATAATTAAGAAAGAAAGTAAGCGTAAAATAATCGAGTCATATCATTTTACTTCCCATCTTTCATTGAAAACAAAATTCTATATCCAATAAAGAATTTTGTTTTCCTCAATTTAAAGATTTCATTGTTCAATCAAAAATGAATTCCATTAATCAAACATAAAAAAACAACATTTTCCTTTACTGTAAGAAAAAACTTTTCCATCCAACCAAACATCCCTTTTAGTGTTTAATATTTTTCTTTTTTTTTTTACGAGTCGGGTAACCCGCGGGTTACACGGGCTCACTCCGTTTAACCCACACTCTTATCCAGGTTAACGAGTAGGGTTAGATTTCCCCCAGCCAACTTGCCTAAAAAACAGGCTAAATGGTTTTAACTCAACAGGTTGGGCCCAGTTTACATCTATAGTCAAAACAGGCCAGCTCGACTAGTATGAATTAGTTCGTCACGGGTCAATGAAAGACGCGTCGAACTCAAACCAGCCCATGTTTAAAACAGGTTGGGGTTTATTACCCAACCCATTTAAGTGCGGGCTAAGCGGGCCAGCCAATCATCCTCTCTCTCTCTCTCTCTCTCTCTCTCTCTATATATATATATATATATATATATATATATATATATATATATATATATATATATATCATGGTGGATATATTATTACATAGTTGAATAATACATGCAAATTTGGTCACATAATTGAAATTTCATAGAAAATAAATTATCGGGAAGATTAATTACATTGTTTGGTTGAGTTTGAAATTGTAAGGAATAATGAGTATAAAGACAATTATACCCATACACAATAATAGCAACAACAATAATAATAATGGTAATTAAGAAAAGTTGGTGAGACATAATTGTCCTACTTGTTTTCTATGGAAAACAAAATACCAAGATGGACCATGAAAAATGATTTCCTCATTTTCAAGGAAAATGTTTTTCATGAACCAAACAAAGAAAAATATAGTGTTTCTCAAATTCAAAGAAAATATTTTTCTTGGAAAACATTTTCCATGAACCAAACATACCCATTAAAGGTTTTTCTTTATGGAATGGGTATGTCAAATTATGTTGTACATCCGTGTGCACTATGTCGCGTTTTACTTATTTCTATTAGCATTATTTATAATTTTTAAATTTAATCTTTTGCATGTAATAATACTTTTAATGTAGTTTCTAAATATATAAATTTTACATACTAACTCTAAACTTAATATTTTAAAAAATTAAATTGTAAATAACTTAAGCCAACACATAAAATGAGATGGGAATAGTATATTTTATATAATTAACATGGTTATTATATAAAATTTTATTTACTTAGGAATAATATAAATTTTATGATTTATATAATTATTGAATGAATATTAACAATCGTGCATCGCACATGTATCATACTAGTAATAATATATTATTATTATTATAAATTTATAATAGTGAAGGATTATAAGTGAAATTTGGTTTTGTGTAATATTAATATTTAAGCTGGCAAGGCACATGTATTTCCAACGCATTAATTGCTGTACTTTCCAATAATTTCTTCTTCTTTAAAGTGAGTGGCGAATTTCGAGTACAGCTGCACCGCAACACTAGACAGCATGTTTATCTCACTTTATTTTGCCCCACAATCCATATTCTATGTTTCTATTCACACATCTAAGTAAGTCATAGGGGCAGTGTTGTATTGTACTCTACTGTGGTGTGTGGAGTGAGCTTCCAGCTCCCAAGAAAGTAAAGAAGCTTGAAGATCTGCAGAGAGAGAAGTGAATAGAATCAAGATTCAATGGAGAAAGCTCTGATGAAAGTTGGAAGCATAAAAGCTGGGAGCTTTTGGCTCACAAAGAAAGCTAAAGAAGAGTTCAACAACATCTCCGGGGACATCAATGTATGTATATATGCATCTCTTTATATATCTCAGTGAATTGCTCTTCTGGGTTTCTCTCTGTGCTTCAGAATGTTTGAAATTTGCTAATGAGTGGGCATTTTGCATTTGTTTATATAGTTTAGATCTGTCAGTTGTTTTCCCTAGAAATGAAAAACAAAGATGCAGACATTGTGGGGTGTGTGTGTTTTCTAAAGGGTATGTGAAAGGGTTCTTGATTTTCTCAGCAGTTTATCCCCAAAAAAGGACATTATATATATCCAGGGGACAGCTCTACCAGTTTGGTTTCTCTTCTCTCAAAGGGCCGTCCCCGGCCCGACATAGTATTTGGGAGGATATAAATCGCGGTGACTCAATGGTTCAGCGAATAGGACTAAATGCCAGTGCGCATAAGGAATCTGTCCACTTTGAACATAATTCTCATATTGACGCCGCCCGGGATTCGAACCTGGGTCTCTTCTCTCAAATACTGCCCACTGAATCATTGAGCTAAACCCGTGCGGGCCAGTTTGGTTTCTCTTAAGCTGCTAGTGGTGGTGTCCGGTGTGTCTTGATGTATTTGGTTAGTTTCATAAAACAGGGTTAAGATTAAGCGTTTATCATTATGTTATGTCAAAAGATATAGCTACTAGCGAAATAACAACTTTATTTTGCCACTTGGTGTTTTGGTGTTTGACTTGGCCTTTTACGAGTCTCTGCCCAACAATTTCCCTAGCACCCACTAGCCTCTAATACCACAGACTAAACGCTTACTACTAAGTCTAAAGTTATAACTAGTAGCATCGTACAAAAAGTGTAATTTTATTTCTTTATATCGCCACATTTTTAAAAGGCAAGGTACTGGACTTGGCTAAGCCTCCGCCCAATAATACCCCTAGCTAGCTCGCGATGCACTTGCCCTTCACCGGGCTCTGCCCAACACGTAGTAGTGCTACTGTGTTTTGGTGTCCAATTGGTGAACTATTTAGAACACCAATTTTAGGATTAGTGGTCATGTTTAAAGCTAGGCATTGAATTAAGCTGAGAAAAGGGATTGTTCATCTTTATCTTCTTGACTTTTCTTACTGTCATTATAAGCATAGGAAGGAAAGATGAGAATATATAGCTTTATGTTTTTGCAGGCTATATCAAACACTGTTGAAGAAAAGGCAAAGTGGATTTTCAACAAGCTAAAAGGTTTGTGTTTAAATTAGGCATTTGTTGTTTTGGTAATGTGTTATTGACTTTTGGGATTGCTTGTGATTCTTGTGAAAACCCCTCATTTTTGGTCCAAACCGAAGTTTGCAATTCCTTGTGCCATTTAATTTGTCTCTGTAATTAAGAAATCAGAATGTTGTAAGATACTCCACATTTTACTTAGATGCTTGTGGTAAGTGAAATGCCCTTTTGAACAAATATTGCCACTCTCATCTACTTTCCAATTTCAAACTCTATAACTATCAATTTGCTTTTTTTACTGCACTTATTAGACCACGAGGTGTCCTGAGTAGGGCCTAACTATAGGAAATGCCTTTAAGCCTGTATCATACTTTGACTAATCCGTTTTTTACTCCTCTTTAGGAAAGCCCCTGAAAAGCTTAGCGGATCTTTTGCGAGAACACAATCTACCACCTGGCCTTTTCCCGGAGAATATAACGAGTTTTGAATTTGATGATTCAAAATCGAAGCTGATTGTGTACCTACCCTCTGCATGTGAGGTCACCTTCAAAGACGGGTCTGTTGTAAGGTATGCAACTCGGGTAAAGGGCATTCTACTTAGAGACAAGCTCATGGGCATAGAAGGGATGAAGACGAAAGTGATAGTATGGGTGAAGGTAACAAGCGTATCCGTTGAAGGGTACAAGCCGGACAAGGTTTGGTTCAACGCGGGAGTGAAGAAGGCGAGGCCAATGGATGCATACAACGTCCCTCACGAGGCTCTTAGAGTAAATGAATTTTGAAATAAACATGATACATATGCTATTTACTATATATCCATCATATCCTTATTGGTTATGCAATGTGCTTTGCCTTTAGGTGCTTTGTTATCCTTTTTCAACAAAGCCATTCTACAATGGAAAATATAGAATGAAGCTGTTAAGATGCTCTTGTGTTCTGGCTTGCTTGATTAGGGCTGCATTAGTGTTGTTTGAATATGGGAGAACTTTTCCCAAATTTAGGGTTTTTTATAATAGATGGATTATGGATTAGGTAGAGCTCAATATGACTAATACATATTTAGGTTTCTAACTAAAGAACCAAGATATACTACTATTACTTGGGTTGATACATCTAAAATCTAAAAATTTTGTAGGAGAGATAATTTTTTTGTTCATATTTGTTGTGCTACAGTTGCAATTGTTATATTATGGACTATGGTTCATCTTGCATTGTGGACCTTGGTTCAAAAATTATGTGTCTGTCGTTAATATATTATGCATTTACAGTTAACCGTTTGTGCTTGTAAATAAATTGAAGACACATAACATGTTAGTTATAGACACATAAATTGTTAATTGTATGTAAAAAAAAAAAATATATGCTAGCTGTAGACATAAACGGTTAATTGTAAGTATAAAATATGTCTAACCGCAATGTGCAAACACATAAAGTTATTTTAGACTAATGTCCACAATGCAAGATAGGCTTTAGTCTATAGTATAACTTGTTCAAATATTGTACTATTAATTTTTATCAAAACAAATGTTATTTTTAGTCATTGACTGGTGTGACATTACCACACTTAGGCCCTGTTTGGTAAAAAATTGGCCTATAGGCCAATTTTGGCTTATTTGATCACTATTAATTGTTTGATTTAGTTAGAATATCAATATAAATGTTTGGTTAATTAGCTTTTTGCAACTCCAAAAGGCTAAAATTAAAAAAGCTACTCCTAGCAACTTTTTCAATTAGCTTTTTGAGAAAAGAAATTATATCAAACAGCTATCAGCAAACAGCTAATTTACCAAACACTTTTCTACAATCAGCTAATGTTATCAACTATTTATACTCTCTAATTAACACAATCAGCTAACAACAAACAGCTATCAGCTAACAGCCATTTTACCAAACAGGGCCTTAGTCTTATAGTCTTTTGTTTAAATTTGTCATTTTACCTCTAACAAATATGATTACCATGTAATTTTATCATTATTGTCTTTTGTCCTAACATGTACTTTTTTTCTTATAAATTCTTTTAATTGAATGATGAAATTAAATGTTACTCCATAATATTCTTTATTAAATGGATGATTAATTGTGTCAAACAATTGAAAGTTCAATTGAGAATGTAATAAGACAAAACTAAAAGAGTATGAGTAAATGTGATACGGAGTATATCAAATCCAAAGTGAACAAAGAATAAGAAGATAAAATATTCTCCACATTCTCCACACACATATAGGTGATGGTTCCAGTGTTCCAGGTAAAAAGTGATAACGAATTTAATCCATTCATTTAGGTAGATAATCAATAGGGCTGTTGACAAATAAGGAAAAATGAGCGAGATTCGTTTTATTATTTTTTTTATATGTATTGCAAACTTTCAAGTTTGTAACAATTATAAAATTGACATTGTATATATTTTTTACTAAAATTCTCGGACATTGATGAATCCTAATGGGCGATTGAAATCAATCCTCACTTTTCACTAGAAGACAATATTCTCATTTGATTATACTCCTATATATAGTGAGGTTTTTTATAAATAACTCGAACTATAAAGTGTAATTTGACAAAACTACATATGTTTATAAATTATGAAAACTAAACTAAAATATTAAATTCAAAGCTAAACCATAAATATTAAACTCAAAAATAATAAAAAGTGAACCCTTAAATCAAACTAAAATAAATAAATAAACCCCAAATTCTAAAAGATGTTTAATTTTTAATTTTGATTACACAACCATGTTATTACTTATTAGCTCCCCAAGATAGAAGGAGTACTTTTCATTTTCCACTTGGTTCACATTATGAATAGCCACTAGTCATAGTCACTCACTTTCAACATACACATCTCTAAAATTATTATTAATGAATATAAAAATACAACTTGACATATTGATATTTTTTCAATTTCTTACCAAAACAACTAATCAACTTTAACTAAAACCAATTTTGTTTAATAAGTATTTGATTATGATATCATTTTTAATGATCATATTCAAACCAAAGGCGTTTTAATGAACTACAAATTTTAATTGTTGAAATGTATAAACAAAATGGAATAATCTTAAGGCAAATTGGCATATTGCCTAGTTTTTAAAAGTAGTCCGTAAATAATTTCATTATTATTATTATTATTATTATTATTATTATTATTATTATTATTATTATTATTATTTTGGTGCTAGCAGCCTGCCAGTTGTAATTCCGTGCTCAAATTCTATACTCTTTTTTAATCCACAGATTCCCACGTTGACGTCAACCCGCTCACAATTTACTTTCATTCTATATTTCACTTTATATTTTTTACTATGTAAAAATAACACTTTCCTTAATATTTACTCTATTATAATGTAGTAATAACTGAGGTTCAAATTCACAATCTTCTATATAGGAGTCCAATCCGAATGTCATATGTACACAAAGTACTTATAGTTTAGTGGTAGAGAATTCAATTGCAGATGGAGAGCATTTTCCTTAATATAAATACTTTAAAAGGGGAAATATTTTCCAACCCTAAAAAATCACATAATTTATAGTCACTTTTTGATAGGATTATTTTGTGTAGTAAAATTTTCTCACTCTTAAGACCTCACATTTCGGGCCGACAAAATAGTGAATGACTAAATTACGGTAAATCAACAGTTTATTAAGTGGGAGAATCAATGTATGGTGCTTACAAGGAATCCACCACATTGTGTGTAACTCTCATACTGTGATTGTTAGTGCACAATAATATTAAATTGAATAGAGAAGAGGTAGTAAAATTAAAGTAGTTAAAATTACACTTCAATTCATCAAAGCAAAATCAAAATTAAAATGATTAAAACAATAGTGGTGGTATTAGAATGGCTCGAAAAATCGAAGAACACCTCAATCAAATAGTTTTCATCATACTCTATTTTCAAATAAAATTTTTATGATTAGAATAATAGATCAATTAAATCGCTAAGCACTTTGTGTTCAATTGTCACCTCTATGTGTATTGACTCTTTGAGCTATAACTGAAAAATATATTAAACAGATACTACATTTTAACAGAGTCAATAGTGCTGTAATTGAGAAAGTATATTTAACAGATACTATACTCTAACAGATGTTAGAGACCATAATACTAAAAAAATCACTCATTATCTTGTGACATATAAAAAAAAAAAATAGTGAGGTTTTTTTTTAAAGCAACCAATATGGTATATATTAGAGATAAGCTGAAATAGCGCCTGGTGAGATATCATCCCAGTACATAGCAGTAGTCTGACTAAACGCTATAGAAGCTAATGAATGAGCTAGTAAATTATTCGATCTACGAATAAATTTAACTAAACAGTAATCGAAATAAGACATATAAGACCTGCAACTATCAATGACATAGCCAACATACGAATGAACAAGACCCGTAGTAGATGATAAGTACTGGTGTAGAGTTTGGCAATCTGTGTACAGCTCAAAAGATCGTTCCCCCCGATTCCTCATCCAAGACAAGGATTCCTTACATGCGAATGCTTCTGCCATTAATGGGGAAAAGCAGTCCGGGAGATCGGCGTTGAAGGCCGCAAGAAAAGCTCCGGTCTCGTCTAGAAGGACGGCACCAACCGAAGCCTTGTTCGTTGAAGGGAGATAACCCGCATCGACGAGCATGACCATGGTGGCCAGGGCGGCTGAACTGTTTCGACCGTATGGTTTGCGACAATGGCAGTCGGCTCGGGGGAGTTCCGGTGTTGGTTGCCGTCGAGATGTACCCGTCTCCACACATGTACGGCAACAACGACAGTCGCAACCAATTTTCTCGGTGTGGGCAGGCAGGCATTCCAGACCGCTCCGTTTCTTGCTTTCCAAATGTGATATAAAATTACAACTATGAACATGACATCGTTAGTGTCTAAAATATTCATTACTCCATCAAACCAAGAGTAAAAAATATTTGTCACAACATTGGAGATTGAAACGTGGGATTCATTCCATATGGCCTTTGCAAAATCACATAATACCAAAGAGTGCATAATATCTTCATGAGTAGTGCCACACATAGCACATGTAGGATCAATCCCGACTTTTTTTATAAACAAATTCTTTGTAGTGGGGATGATATCACTCAAGGCTCTCCATAAAAAGGTTTTCCACCTCGGAGGATTTTAAGTTTCCATAATGAGAGCCAAAAAAAAATTAAAAAAATAGTGAGGTTAAATAGTTTAATAAAGAATGAAAATGTTGGCTAAGATAATTTTTTAAAATGAGAATAAAAATATTAAAATTATAAATAATTGGGGTCAAAACTAACAAAAACTCAAACAAGAAAGAAAATCAATTCTTTAAAAAAAAAAAAAAAGAGAGAGAGGAAATCTAGAAAAACACTTCTCTAGTTTTCGTATCTGCAGCGTGGACTTTTTGCAGAAAGGTCTGTACATCATTATGGAGTAAAAAATACACTGTTTGTATAGATAGAGAGAGAGGCGAGGAAGAAGACGACGGCACGGCACGGCGACGACTTTCAGTTCTAGAAAGAGAAAGTGACGGCAAAAAGAACCGACGAAGAAATTTACTCTTATTTGAGATTTGAAAAGGGATAGTGGTTGGTTTAACACGAAATTTGTTTGTGAGTGGGCGGTGGAAATTGGCGAATTCAATGGCTAAGAACGACGGAGGATCATCCTCATCCGCGGCTTCGAGATCGGCTCCGGAGCGGCCGACGATTACTCTGCCGCCGCGGAGTTCGGTGGAGAGTTTGTTTACGGGCGGGTTTATGAGTGGGATAAGCCCCGGGCCTATGACTCTAGTGTCGAATTTTTTCTCGGAGGGAGATTCCTACTCTGAGTGCCCCTCCTTCTCCCAGTTGTTAGCTGGCGCCATAGCTTCTCCCGTGGCTCTGGGAGGTGTTCGGCCGCCGCCGCCGCTTCAGCCTGTTGAGGCGAAGGAGGAGTCCGGTACTGGAAGCGGTGGAGATGCAGATTTTAGATTGAAGCATAATCGGCCGGCAGGGTTGGCGATAACTCAACAGTCAATGTTTACCATACCGCCTGGTTTGAGCCCGGCGACTTTGCTTGATTCACCCGGATTTAGTCTTCTCTTTTCGCCTGGCCAGGTATTTACAATTTACAAACCCTTGGACATCTATTTGTTCTATTATTGAATGGCTTGGTTTCAATAGTTTGATTCAGGGAAAAGTTGAATTTAGCAGATTGATATCAAAAATATCAATGATGATCGGAACAGTTGACATTAATTATTGAATGGCTTGGTTTGCTGTTGGAGGGTGAAATGATTAAGGCGAAGAACTTTGTTATTAAGGATTTGATTATTCTTAATTAGATTCTCACAATCTGCTGGGCTGCTGATTTCCTATTAGGTATTTAGGACTAAGGCACAGTGGAGTTTGTTCCTTGAAGGTGGGCCTGCATTATACCCTATTTTGAATTTTGATTAGATCAAAGTGTCCCCTAGCATAGCTCAGTAGTCGAAATGTTGAGTGTGGGTACAGTGACCCAGCAAATATTCAAGTTCGAATCCTTAACGGGGGAGGATTTCAGCCTTGGGACAAGAAGCACACACTCAGACCCTGCGTCACTTAGACATATCCTGCAATTTACCTCAGTTTTAGGGTTTAAACCTATAATATCAAGGTAGAAGTTTAATACTGGTTTCTCTTCTATAGTTCTATGGAGCCTTTCACACGCTACTATACTGGTGGTGTTTTGAATAAGGAAATCTGCAACTGTTCTGTGACAGCACATGCTCTCCTATGTACTGAATTTACGAATCCTTAAGTGCACACAATGAACAAGTTAGTCAGTAGAGTATTATCCCCTCCAAGGCTGATCTATAACGCTTAGGGTACCAAAATTAGAAAGCTTTAAACTTTTCAAACAGACAAAATAAACTAGAGTTTATGATAAATTAGATGAAAGCAAATAAAGAGAATAGGGAATTAGAGAAACTAACTAAATAAGAACAAGGATGGATAAATGGATCTAGGGGCATTTCATAGATCAGTTGGCATACCTACCAATTCAAATCTAAAAACATATTAAGATTAGGCATTAATTATATCATATTCATCAAAGAGTCAATATTTAACCATCCCTTTTGGCTGTTTAACTAATAAAGATGAAAATGAATCTCAGATTATGCAATAAATGATCACTGATCAGTCATGACAAGTATTAAGCATAGAATGAACTAAGTACGAGATAGAAACTAATGGAACCAAATATAGAATTGAACTACATAAATAATAAAACCAGAGCCTGTTAAAATCCTAGATAAAGTTTTTAGCCTCTCATGAACACCCACCCTTTGGGCTAATGGATTCTTCCTATTATCCTCTAATTCCCCCTTTGAAAGAGTCATCCTTGAAACCTTGCAGCGATCTCTATCTATTGATGTGGAATTGAAGTTCTCATTGGGCTTGTAGGATTCAGGAATTGATTGGGATTATGCTACTTTACTTCTTGTATTGTATCCCTCTCGAATATTACATTGGACTTCTAAGCATTTAGAAATATTAATTGATAACCAAATTGGACTATTACAGCTTAGGGAAGTCACAAATTTTCAATCCCAACTCAAATAGGGATCTCTCCAATTCAACCATTGACCTAATGGAAGAAGATTTACAGAAGTAGGTACTTCTGCTAAACCATTTCCCCAGTCTTGAAGGATTTCAGCTATCACTCACAGAAGCAACCAAACATTTCTGCTAATTCAACTCCTCTGGAGTGCAAGTCTGTCTTCTAAGTTCTTTTTAACCACTTCAACTTCACAAATAGGCTTTGTGGTCTATATAATGCCATTGGAATCACCCCATTTGGACCTTCATACACTGAGATATGCAGATGGCTCTTACCATCCCCCTCCGGCCCTCCCAATCTAATCTCCATTATGTTTTTTGTTTGTGGTAATTAATCTGGTTTCTAGAAGCCTTGTATGTTCAGCCAATCCGCTCTGCATGAAATTCCTGCCAAAAACTTTGAGCAGTAAATGACTCAGGCACAAAACTCTTATTAGGGGAATGTTACTGCATCTGCGCTAATGACACCATTGGTTCAATTATCGGAAATCTATTCCAGCAACTTATTTATAATTTATTTTTTTCTGGTTATACAGGGCCCTTTTGGAATGTCTCATCAGCAAGCACTTGCTCAAGTTACAACTCAGGCTGCACAGGCTCAAGTCCAAATGCATATTCAACCTGACTACCCTTCTTCATCAGCAGCTCCTGCAACATCATATTCACAGCTACAGACTATAGCATCAAATGCAACAATAAATCAACAGGTGCCTTCTCAAGCATCTGGTCATAATATCATGAAAGAATCATCTGAAGTTTCCCATTCTGATCAGAGAATAGAACCAGCTTCCTTTCCTGTTGACAAACCTGCTGATGATGGTTACAACTGGAGAAAGTATGGACAGAAGCATGTCAAGGGAAGTGAATTTCCTCGAAGTTACTATAAGTGTACACATCCAAAGTGTCCAGTCAAGAAGAAGGTTGAACGCTCTCTCGAGGGCCAAATAACTGAGATTATATACAAGGGTCAACACAACCACCCACCGCCTCAAAACAGAAAAGGGGCAAAGGATCCTGGAAACTCCAATGGGCCCCTTCAATGTGGCTCTGAACTGAGCTCTGAAGGCCTGACAACAAATTTTAACAAGCCCAAGGATCAAGAATCAAGTCAAGCTACACATGAACATGTGTCTGGATCAAGTGAAAGTGAAGAAGTGGGAGATGCAGAAACTAGAGCAGATGGTGGAGGTGATGATGAACGTGAATCAAAGCGGAGGTATACCTCATTTCCAAATTCCAATACCAGGAAATAATCCATTGTCGTTTTAATCAATCCTTGTCTTCTTACCACAGATTCATATCCATTTTCTTGTATGCAGGGCCATAGAAATGCCGGTTCCAGATCCAGCTACATCTCATCGGACAGTTACAGAACCAAGGATTATTGTTCAGACTACTAGTGAAGTTGATCTTTTAGATGATGGATACCGGTGGCGAAAATATGGTCAGAAAGTTGTTAAAGGGAACCCCTACCCAAGGTAACATTTCTATTAGTGACCAAGTAATCCTATGTTTCTTTGAGAGTTTAGGGGAATTTTCTCAATTTGTTGGCATATTGCCCATCCCTCAACTCGAATCTCATGCTGCACTTTGTACTATTTAAAGATATGATCAAACTATTTAAAATAGAGATGAATAGATAATACACATCAAGCTTTTATTTCACATGGTGCTGAGATGCTAATATTTAGTTTTGTGCATATGCTCAGCAGTACTTTACACATTTTTGCAGAAGCTACTATAAATGTACAAGTCCCGGGTGTAATGTACGAAAACACATTGAGAGGGCCGCAAATGATCCTAAAGCTGTCATAACAACATATGAGGGCAAGCATAACCATGATGTTCCTGCTGCTAGGAACAGCAGCCACAACACATCAAACAACAATACCATGCCACACAACGTGGCAGGTCAACAGCTGGCTGCAATTAGAACAGACTATTCTAGCAATGAACAGCAAGTAGCTCTCTTACGATTCAAAGAAGAACAGATTACATAATATATGGGGTTTCACTCAACAGACGGTTGAGAAGGAAGCTAGCAGGCAATGGCACATTTCCCGCAAAGCAAGATAGAGAAACACAAAATATATTGGAACAGACCCAATACTTGTTGTTCTACTCAGCTACAACCTACAGGTTATGGATCAAGAAGAAATTGCCCATGATGTTTCACATAGAAACCACTTTAAAATCTTATTCTTTTTGTAAATGCCTTATATTTATGAATTTATCCCAAAGGTTTTACTGTTTCTTGCCGTGGAATGATCGGTGATCGTTTCATTTGTTGTCGATCATTTCAAACTCAAACTCATGTTGATGATTTGATAGTTGGTTTTAAGATTTTGTGAAAAGGTTTGTACACCAAAAGACATTTGTGGCATCAATGTATCTTTACTTTTTTTTTTTTTTTTGAGGAAATCAATGTATCTTTTACTTGTTTAGTTATTTTTGTTGGTACATCTCAATCTCAGTGTTTGTGCTTTGAGACTCAGCACTTATAGCATCTTTAACGAGTGTTGAATACAATTCTATATGTATAGGCATTCTCTAATCGGTGGTTTGTTCCAAATTAGTACATAATACAATTATAATTTAAGAAAGGAGTTAATGTTGTGTTTACACAACTAATTTTTAAGCCAAATAACTGTACTGTAAAATCATTAAAATGAAAAAATGTTTTTATAACAAAATATTCCCTTAGTCTTGTGCCTACAAATAGTTATACCATGGATCAGGTGCAAGAAGGTGAACTTGGTCAAAAAATTATGTGTTTGTACTTTACAGTTAACATATTATGTAAATAAATTGAAGACATATTATATTAATTACATGCACATATTATGTTAATTGCATATTATGTGCCTACAGTTGACATATAGGCCTTGTTTGGTAAACGGTTGTTAGCTATTAGTTGGTTAGGTTAATTAGAGGGTATAACTAGTTGATAACATTAGCTGATTGTAGAAAGGTGTTTGGTAAATTAGCGGTTAGCTGATAACTGTTTAGTATTATTTTTTTCTCAAAAAGCTAATTGAAAAAGTTGCTTTGTGTAGCTTTTTGAATTTTAGCATTTTGAAGTTACAAAAAGCTAATTAACCAAACACTTATATTAATTTTTTAACTAAGTTAAACAATTAATAGTGATCAAATAAGTTAAAATTGACTGATAGGTTAACATTTTACCAAATAGGGCCAATATTATGTGTCTGTGCATTCAACTATATATTATGTGTCTTAATTTTTTTTTTTTTGAAAGCTTATGTGTCTTTAATTTATTTCTAGATTAACTGTAAACACATAATATATTAACTGTAACCACATAATATATTAGCTGTAGATACATAATTTAAATGTCATTTTGGATTAAGATTTACAATGCAAGATGAATTGCACTTCATTACCAATCAAATCCCAAAATTGGGAGTGGGCTAAAAGCAAACAGTCCATCTAGGCAGCTCAAAAGGGTATGTTCTGGCTGAGCCCACTAATCTTAGAATGGGAATTGAAGCAATGGTCAATTGTTATACAGTGGAATATGATCCAATACAACATTGTTTCTTTTAATTAAAAGAAGTGAATCAATGGTGTATCATGTTAAAGATATGTATATTTTTAAATGAATCTATAGTAGAATTAAAATAATACTTTGCTATTGTAATAATAAAAATATTTGTGTACAAATGAAACTGAATAACAAAGTTTACACAAATATGTATATTGTCAAATGAACATGTAAATATGTAATAGAATTAAAATAATACTTTAGTGTTGCTATACTGAATCTATTGTATCTATAAAATGAAATTGAATAGCAGAGCTTATATAGAAATGTATATTTCGAATTAAAATGATATTTTAGTATTGCTGTAATGAACTTGGTTGGCGTGATTGATCGTGCACTATCCTCCTTTAAGAGAAGTTGGGAGTTTAAAACTCCCTCATGTAAAAAAAAAAATAATAATATGGCAAACATTTTGTCCCTTAATTAAGTCGGCTTGGTGCGAGGACACCTCATGGTTTAACAAAAAAAAAAAAAGAAAAGAAAAAGAAAAAAAAAAAGTAATACTACACATCTCCCTTTTCTACTTCATGCTTACTTCTTATGCTTGGATTCCTCCATTACAAAAATTGGGTCATTAATTATTTTTTTTCACCAACAAAATTAAGACATATGATAAAAGTAAGTATAATACAAGTATATTTTTCCTTTATGAGTTACAACATGTAAAATTTTCCATGAGGTCGCAGGGTGGAGACACATTGATGGTGAAAATTGCAGTAGTAACTAGGCAGGGGGGTGGGTCTTAATTAGGGTTTGGGAAATGTGAGTATAATTGAATGTCCATCACATGTCTGTCCAAAGTTCATTTCATATTATGGATGCCACCCACTTCTACTTCCTCTTTTAAGAACCCTCCATCATTTCTGTATTCATGAATGAACCCTCCATCATTACCCGCATGGCAGCTCAGTTAGTCATATGAGTAAAATTTTAAAAAAATGATCAGATCAAATCTCATCCGTGACAGTGTGGAAGCAACCTCTCAAAATGAGGGGCTTCTCGTACGCAGTAAGCAAAGGTTTAGCGCGCAATTCATCACTTATTAATTCTGTTAGGTCCCACTACAGTATTAATGTTCTCGCAATTCATGCTCATTTACTAATTGAATTTTTTTTTATTATTTTGTAAAAAATTGAAGAATTAAAGAAAAAAAACAATTATACATGTTTATTAGCGCGTACAATTTTTCATTTTGAAAACTGTAAATATTTTTCAATTTTGTATAAAATTGGAGAACTTTTTTTTTTTTTTTTTTTCAAAATGAAAAACAAAATCTATCTCTATCATCTATTCAACTATAAATCAGAATATATAATTTATACATTTCACAACATTAACAATTTAAAGGGAAAAGCAAAAATAAGCATAAAATTTAAAAAAAAAAATTGTAAGTGAACAAAAAAGTAAGTACAATGTCCAATTTTCAAAAAAAAAAAAAGTACAATGTCCAATTATCGACAATTTATTAAACCAACAAATTTGTAACCTTACTATTATTAGTTTTACATAATGACTAAAAATAACAGTTTATTATTACACAAAAGCGAGATTTTTCTAATACACAACCACAAGTAGTAACTACAGATTTCGCTCGTTACAAAAAAACATCAGTTAATTGACAACTCAAAAATTAAAATTTGTGATACCTATAATAAATGATTCAAATTCATTATTAGTATATAATTAAGGGATTAAATGTGTAAGACTATAATTTTTTTAAAAAAATCAAGGATTTATATTTTAAATTTCAATTTCGAAATTTTTATTTGAAATTTTTAAAGAAACACCAAAATTAAATATCGTATATAAATAGATACTACAATGTAATAGAGCCAGTAGCTTAAAAAAAAAAAAAATATCGTATTGCAAAGTAGAGGTGGTCACGAGTTTATCAGTTTGAATCACGTGACCACAAATTGACCAAACGACATAAAGTAAAACAAAGACAAAATCAAAAGTAGTCACGGGTAATATTCCTATACCCTTGTTATTTTCTTTTTCTTTTCCTCTTATACCTTTTATATATACTTTAAATTCTTTTTTTTTTCTCTCTCATTACTTTTATTTGCAATATATATATATATATATATATATATATATATATATGTGTGTGTGTGTGTGTGTGTGTGTCCATAATCAGGTGCGGACTGACCTTAACGTTTGAACTTGCGCATTGCTGAATGATTGCACTGCACTTATTACATGATTGCACCGCACCGGATACAATTGCTGAGAGCTGTTGCGGTGCAATCCTTCAATAGTCTGCATGTTAGGGCTGGTTGGAGAAATGATTGTCTGAGTATCATATCTATCATAAATCATAGAGTTAATTCTAATTTTTGTCCATGACTATTATATTTTTATTTTTAAAATTTTAATCTTAAAATCAATTACTTTTAGCTTTCAAGTTATAGGAAAATGTCATTTTAATTTTGAGAAATAAAATGGCACATTTTCAATAGTTGAACTAAATTTGGTCAATTTTAAAAATTAAGAATTAAAAGAAATTGTAAATAGTTGAAAAATCAAAATTGAAATTAACTAAATCATAGCTATGGAGCATGCTATAATCTTACTTATAATCCTTACGTCTTACTATTCGATTGATTCTTTTTTTTTTTTTTATGTTTAATTAATAGGTATTTTTTTGTTTAAAAAAAAAAACTTGTAATATGATTGACTAGTTCCTGAATAATTAATAATAAAAACAATAATTTTATTATTTACGATAAATCTCACAACCACTATTTGAAAGAGTGCTTCTATATTGTACATATTCACCGACTCAAATCAAAAAAATTAATAAATAACTCTTATTTAAAATCAAATTTAAAATTTTATGATTATCAAGTTAACTGTTAAACCAATTTAATTAAATTGTCTCAAACAATTATACCATAAATAGCTTGTGTAATAAATAACTATAGAAAGTAGTATAAAAAAAGTCAAACTCTGAAAAAGATAGGGGACAAAAAAGAAAAGGTTCAATTGCTTCTGACTAAAGTCATGGAATGGAAACTCATTAATCCATTTATGGCCTTTAACCACCCACCCCCCCCCCCCCCCCCCCCCCCAAAAAAAAAAAAAAAAACTGATTCCTTTTAATTTTCTTTTTTCTAGAAAGTAATTTTATTTTATTTTGGAATAAGGTTCAAATTGGCCACTGAACGTAACCTGAAAATGCAATTAGGCCACTGAACGAACAAAAAGTGCAATTAGGCCACTGAACACTTCAAAAACGTGCAATTAGGCCACTGAACTCTCCAAACGTATGCAATTTCACCGGATAGCAGGTTACCATCAATTTTAGCAGGTTACCTACTTACGTGGCAGCTGAGTTGGCATTTTAATAATTTTTAAATAATTTTTAATAATTTTTAATAATTAATTTTAATAATAAATTTTATAAAAAATTAAAAAAATTAAATAAAAAATAAAATAAAGTCGTTTTTATTTTTTTTAAATAAAAATTTATTATTAAAATTTATTAAAAATGATTTAAAATTTATTAAAAATGCCAACTCAACTGCCACGCATGCAGATAACCTGCTAAAATTGAGGGTAACCTGCTATCAGGTGAAATTGCACATTTTTGGAGTGTTCAGTGGCCTAATTGCACTTTTTTTTCGTTCAGTGGCCTAATTGCATTTTCAGGTTACGTTCAATGTCCAATTTGAACCTTATTCCTTTTATTTTTATGTACTCAATTTCAATCAAATGTATATATAGATCATTTGAGTTGAACTAATACATTCATTATGATGCCCTATATTATTCTATTAATAGAATCCTATGATTCTATTTGGCAAGTCTAGATTAAAAAAAAAAAGTAGTTGATATATGAAAATTAACTTAAAGATATAAATTGAGAGTTGTTAAGTTAGTTAAATTTTGGTAAAATTAATTGTAAATAATTCGAATATAATGACTTTGTTAAAAAAATATTTTATATATATATATATATATATATATATATATATATATATATATATATATATATATATATATATATATATGCGGTAAATAATATGGAGTACAATAATTCTATACAATGTGTAGTATGCCTAGAGGATAGAGCATACTATACCAATTTACAGTATATTTGATTTATGGAATTAGTCGATATAAAATGGGGTATGAATCTTAAGAATATGCTTATTTTGACTTTGGTAAGTCGTTTTATTTCCGATAATAGTATTTTCCGGAATGAGCTATAAGGGGAATAGCTATTGCGGGGAACAAGATCGGAGCGGTAAGGAAGGGGGGCTAGTATGACGCTATTCATATGTTTTCAAGAATAGGGAAAGGTCACAGTGTCAATCTTTAAGGACGGAGCTACTATGTGGATAGTGGGGATAGCTGCCCTCCCCCCTCCTCCACCCCACCCGTATAGTCCTATCTTGAGAAAATTGATTACAAATCTTTTTATTTCCAGCTAAGAAAATTAAAATGTTAGTTCACTCAAAAGCAAAGACTATAGTCCAATCTTAAGAAAATTAGTTACCAATCTTTATGAACGAGAGTTCACCATTGCAATGGTAGTTGCATTGGAAGGAAGAAGAGTTCTTTACATAAGAGCAACGTAAAAATTCAGGTTTTGTATTTGTTGTATATGTTTATGTGTGTTATGTAATTAAAAATGTGTAGTGGATTAAACATTTGTTGGGTTTCACCGATTCAATTGCGTTAAAATCTTGTTGTCGTAGTTTATATGAATCATGGTTATGCATTTTATCTGTATATGTTTATGTATGACACTACATGATCGATTATATTATAGTTTTTGATAACATCTCTAGTCCGATTTAAATAGTACTTTTGTGGCTCTCCTTGAGACTTGAGGTAATTAAGGTCACATGATCGAACCCTAGTGGTGGGGTATTGACTCTTTAGGTTACAACAGATAGAGAAAATATGTTGAACATATACACCATTACAATAGAGTTGATAGTACTAACTTATCAATAATATTCTCAAATTTTGCGAGGTATTATTATTTAAAATTTTAAAATAATAACTAACAACAAATAACTAAAATCTATATGGAACAAAGGAGTACTACAAATACATTGTTTTTTTCGAAAAGAAAAAAGTTAAACAACTTTTTAAAAATTTTCTGTGAATTACTTTTTGGGTCAACTTGCATAGACTATATTCTGCATGTGCATGCCATGCCCTAACGTATATTCTGTTAAAATAGATAATGAAGTTTCCGAGAGATAAAAAATAATATAATGGTGGCTGTGTTATATATGTTTATATGCTCACATGTGCAATCAACTTTTTTTTTAATTTTTTATAATGAAATCTGAAAAATTAAATTGTATAATAACAAAAAGATGTTGCATATAATCTATTAGAGCATCTTCAATGCACCCAAAAAAAAAAAAAAAAAAAAAAAGAAGAAAGAAAGAATGAGAGAAAGAGTCAAAGAGGGAGAGAAGTGCAGGATAAATTAAGAGAACCTAGCAGGCAAGATAAATCTGACAAGAAGGTGCCAAAATGCTGGTTTTGTGTGCAAAAACTAGAATGAGAATAAATATATATAGTAGCTTATTATAGGGTTTTGTAGCACGTATAGTTTAGTGACCCAACACAACATTCACTCTCGATCTGTCCTATACTTTAATTTCTCCCATGTTATGTCACTCTCCTATATATATATATATATATATATATATATATATATATATATATATAATGTTTGAAATTTATTTTCTTGGGCCAAGTTCCCACCTATTCTTGCATCTAGCTAGGGTTCTTCCAAATTCCCAAATCAAACACTACTCTACCCTCCATCCTTGAAATTGGTAGGCATCCCAATAGAGTTTTTGGAAAGGTTTTTGAGATTTGAAGTCTATATAGAAGTGAGAAAATGTTAAATTCTTGCAAAAGTAATATATTTTTGTGTCATAATGTGGAGCCCACTAAATAATTAAAGAAAATAGTAATTGGAGCAGCCGCTCAGTGGACCTGTGTATTACACGCGGGCGCATTGAGGGTGGTCGCCAACTGGAATATTAACACCGTTAATTATTGTCCTTAGTTTCACCACTTTTTAAAGTAGAAGGACGTACTAAATTGAACAGAATAAAAGTATAATGACTAAATTGAACAAAACATTATAATACAGAGACTTCATATCCCGATTTCTTCAATATAAGAATCGTGAACCGCCAATTTATAACTATAATCAAACTATGTCACATCTAATTATTTGTACAATAATTAATACATAAAATTTGTACAAATAACGCTGATCACACACAAAAGGTTATATGGGACATATTTCAATTATGCAAAATATATTTTAGAGAAAACAATACTTTTCTATAAGTCAACGAGGTTTATATTTTCATTAAAAAGTATTATTCATTACTTAGAAACATAATAGTAAATATATAATACTTGTTAACACATAAAAAATATTATATTTTTTATTAAAAAAAAACTTGTTTGTGACATTTTCTTAAGAAAAGTCACAGAGGTGTTAACTGAATACAAAATATTTGGCATGCAAAATATTTTGCATATAATGAAGATTTAATTGTATTGAATAAGACAGCAAGCTAAGAAATGGATACGACATTATATCTAAATGTTACTATTCGACCAAACCTACTACTCTTATATGTTAGACAGAAACATGTGGACCATGTACTAAATTTAATTTATCTAAGATTTGTATACTTATATTAATATTAGATTTAACTAATCCAGTACAACGTGTACCAACACTTTTTAAAATAAATTATATTAAGGAACTTAGATAGAACCTAATAAAAGTAGGGTCTTTTTTTTTTAAATTTGTTTTTATTTTTTATTTTATAGAAAAACATTGACATTCATTTTTAATTCATATAAAATTGAAATCCACACTAATTTGGACGGATTTGAAATGAATGGTGAACCACTCCATGCAAACTGGGTCCATTTAGAAATGATTTAATACCCAAAATTGTCATTGACTATAGTGATTTTTTTCAATTTTATCTAAACAATTTTAGTATCATAAAGTAGTTTCAAACTTTTGTGTTATTGCTCAAATCTATTAAAAGGGTGTTAAAAGAGGGATAAATTAGTAATTTCAAATTGAGATTTTCTCGATCTCCTTAGATTTATTTCACCACGCGGACTGACTACAAATGTAAGTCAAATGTCGAATGTAATTGAATCTGCAGATTGTGTTCACGTGTTTATCAGTTGCGGCGGTTAATTCCCCAAGTAAATTGAGAAACCGAGAATCAATGGCGAGCTTTATACATACATACATACATACATACATACATACATACATACATACATACATACATACATACATACATACATACATATATATATATATATATATATATATATATATATATATATATATATATATCTGTGTGTATCTATTTATTACAATGAATTACAAGTTAAAATGATTTATTTGCATGTTTTTATTATAGTTATTATTAATTTTTATAACTGTAATAAATTTTAATTTATAACTTTATTTTAATACAAATAATACTTATTATCATCATCAAAATAACTAATATTTTATAAGAAATGAATTTATAATATATTTCTATTTTTTAAAATAAAATGAACCAAATAGAACAAAATACAATTTTCTAACTTCAGCCAATTTTTGACATTTAACCAAAAATTAATAAATGAAAATGTTTTCCAAGAGAATGAATCATTTTTTTTTAAATCATTTCCCGTAAAATATTTTTGAGTTTTCGAATGAGCCCTTCCTATATATTTTATTTACTGATAAATATGATACCATGTTATATTTTTAAAAATAAAAAGATTAGATTATTAAAATTTGCAAGAAACATATATGAGAAAAAGAAAGATAACAAAGAAGACAAATAAGAAGTGTTTGTGTGTGTGTGAATGTTTTGTTATATGGCTTTGTATAAACTTTTTTTTTTTTTTTAATTTAGGAAATTGTATTTTGGTCATAGAATTGTGTATGGTTTGTCATTATGGCCACAACTCACATATTATCTACATTTATGAGTATAGTTCTCAAGGCATTATGTTGCATTTTAATATTTGATATTATGCTTAACTTAAAGTATTCATGGGGCATGCTGTATTAATTAATATCAATACCTTTTGTAATTGGTATAATTACACATAATATAATTACTTGCACCTGATACTGTGAAGATAAATGTTAACCGAATGTCTATACCAAACACAATCTAAATAATATATATAATTATACTCGATATAAAAAATATCGGTACTATCGCTGCTCTAGAAATTTAGAAATTTAGAAATATTCATAATAGCGGGTGAAATGTTTATTTAAATTTTTTTTTTTAAATGAATAAAAAAAAATTGTTGAAAAAGTAATTTTCCACTTGGAGGAGGTTTAGGAAGATATTGAAAAGCTTTAAATGGGGTTGGTAGGAGAATACAAAAAAGGCAGAGGAAATACAACTGGCTGGCTGTGTACTATTTGGAGTGTGACACATGATTTGTACATCCCAAAAGGTGACAAAAGTAAAAAAGATTTGTTGGCAAAGGTAATTATAAGTTCAAACTTTAAACCCCAAACCCAATTCTGTCAAAGCAACCTCAATAGTGGTAGATTTGTGTAGATTGTGAATTTTTACAGGTAATGTAAGAGCGCGGAGCAAGTGAGAAGCGAAAAAAAAAGGGGAGGAAACCATAAATTCTGACAAGAAAAAAAAAAAAAAAAAACTAACAGGGCGTTTGGTTGGAGGGATTTTAAATTCCCTTCCCACTTAATTCCCACATAATTTCAAAGGTCATCAAATTCCGTAGTTTGGTTGGAGGGAATTGCAATTTCATGAAATTGTAATTCCCTAATTTCATGGAATTAAAATCTCATGTCCCCCCTGGTATTTTAATTCCTGGGAAAAACATATAGTGATGAGTCAAAATTACCCCTTCCTTTTTTAACCTAAAATTAATGTCTAACAACAATAATGGACATTTTTGACTTTATACTACTTATTCCCTTTCAATTCCCATGTATACCAAACATTGGAATTGAAATTCCCAGTAATTCTATTCCTGTCAACCAAACACTGGAATTTAAATTCCCACTTTATTCACAGTAATTCAACTCCCATGGAATTACAATTTCTTTCCCACATAATTCCCCCCTCCAACCAAACGCCCTGTAAAGGCAAGCGCATAGATTGTTGCACACGCACAGTAATCTGAGCAAGTTTTCTCCTTTTCATCCAAAAGTGAACTCCACCTAAAAATCATATTTATAGGATAAAAATATAGCCACAAACTCTCATTTCTCATTAGATAAAAATCAATTCTTACTTTTTTCTTTTTCAAAACTGAACAAAAATCACTATTGTAGTTGCTCACATAGTCACACCCCTGTAAAAGTAATTGTGAAAGGAGATAAATTGTGTAATATATTTTAGTAACACATGATTTGAATGCTTGTTTGTTTGTTTTGTTTTGTTTTTTTCCTAAGCTAAAATTCTCTCCAATTAAAAATTCAAATTCAAGTAATTGTTGGGTATTATACCTATACTCAGACTTTAGATCACTGAACTATGTCCGGGAGCAATTGGCAAAGGTAATTATAGGCTTCCAAACTAACCGGGGAGTATTAATAAAACTGCTCAACTATGAATTTGTGTACTTTATTGTGATTTTTTACTGGTTAGGGTCACAAGTCGGAGTTTATTCAGTGTACTTGTTGAGGGGATTCTTTGTCATAAAAAAAATGTATTAGTAATTTATTTATTTTTAATTATAATTAAATGAGACAGAAGAAGCATGCTCTATAGTCTCTGTTGAGCATATAACCATTAATGTACAATCCAATTATCAGTTTAAGTTTTAAGTTGAGATAGAACACATGCTTCAATTCTCTCTATTGTATTACAACACCATTGTTCCCAGCGGAGTCTCTCTCTCTTTCTCTCTCTCTCTTCAAAAGGCTTCTCAAGAACCGATAAATAAAAAAATTTAAAGAAACAAGAGAAATACCCAATAGCCATTTCACAATTTCAAAGCCTTGTGTCCTCTCTCTCTCTCTCTCTCTCTCTCTCTCTCTCTTCAACTTCATGGTGCAAATGTGGGTGGGGTTTGGGTTATTAATTATTATGATTGAGTGAACCAGACAAAGCTACCTAGCCATAAACCCACTACCAGTTATGCATTTATTTCTCCCTTTGAGCTTTTCATTGTGCTGTTTTTGATTCTTTCTTTTGTTCATTTGTGCTTTCTTTGATTTCTTTGTCACTGATAAGACCCAACAGAATGTGGGAAAATGTGGGATTTGTTTTCTTGCTGAGAATGAGTGTTCAGCTGATCTTAATTTTCCAGTGAAAATGAGGGAAAATGCAAGTAAACAAGGAAATTAGAGGGTAGACAAAGTTCCCACATTTTTTGGCCCTTTTTCCTGCAAAATTTCTTGGCTGCACAGACTCTTTAATCTGCAAAATGAGGAAGCATGGATGGCAGCTTCCCTATCATCCTCTCCAGGTCTCCCTCGCCCCCCAGTATTCTTCCTTAATTTTTAGCTTTTTAAAGGGATTTTGTTTCCTTTTTAGCATATATGTAATTTTGGTTCAGTTTTTTTTTTTTTTTTTTTTTTTTTTTGAATCTACATGTGCTTGAATGCAGGTGGTGGCTGTTGCTGTGTTTCTGGCATTGGGTTTTGCCTTCTATGTGTTTTTTGCACCTTTTGTGGGGAATAAATTGTTTCAGTACATTGTGATGGGGATTTATACACCTCTTGTAAGTCACTTTAATAGCTTTTCCTTCTCTTTGCCCTGGTTTCCTGTGTCATTTTAGACTCTGGATCACTGAGATCTGCTCTTTAATTACTTGTTTACTTCATGATTTTGAGTAATTTTGTTGCTGTTCCTATGGATTGTGTTCTACTATTACTTTGTGGGCTCTCTTTATATTGTGTTCTGCAATTACTTTTTGGACTCTCTTTGGATTGTGTTCTCTAATTACTTAAAATAGGATTTTCTTGAACCCCCCCCCCCCCTTCCAGTTCCTTCATTCTTTTTTGGCAAATGAGTTTCTTAGTCCTTTATTTATTCTATGGATGATTCCTGACTTAACAAATGATAGTGTCATTGGCCAATTTGGGTAGAAATGGGGGCCTTGGTTTCATTTCCCTACTAAAATGTAGCCTAGCAAAAGGCAGTGTATACTCTTATATGTGCAATTGAAGAGACATCTCTTTGTTTCTTTCCCAGATTATATGTGTTTTTGGGTTATATATCTGGTGTGCTGCCACTGATCCTGCGGATTCCGGGGTTTTCAAGTCGAAAAAGTATCTTAAGATTGGAGATGACAAAAGCCATAGTCATGTCAAGGATTCTAAACTAGGTGGAGGAGAGTCAACTTCATCAGTACATGGTGCTAATGCTAGTTCGGTTGGAGAGAAAACTTTTGACAAAAACACGGGAGCTCAAGCGGCTGCAGATCCTCATGGTGCTCAAACCGACGAGAAGATTGAGGCAGCTTCTCATCAAACATTGTGCGCTTCTGTGCTGTTACCTTTACTACCCTGTGCTTCGTCGTGCTGCCCAAATCGACACGACGAGTCTTCCGAGCAACAAACAAGTGAAGATGGCATGTTCTATTGCAGTTTGTGTGAAGTGGAGGTGAGTGCTTAGATGTGCAATTATCCATACTAAAAGTGTACCCAACAAACTAACTAGCTTGGTTGGCGTGAATGGCCGTGCACTCTTATCCCTTAAGCAGTGTTGCAAAAATCGCGCCTAGGCGCTAGGCGGTCGGCCTCCTGAGTGCCCGGTGCCCGCCCAGGCGCCCTAGGCGGTCCCCAGGCGCCTAGCGATTTTTTCAACATTGCCCTTAAGAGAGGTCGGGAGTTCAAAACCCCTACTCTCGTATGGAAAAATCAATATGGCCAGCACTTTACCTCTTAATTGGGCTGGCCTGGTGCGAATGGGGATTAGTCTGAGTATGGAACGGGCTTAGAAATTGTGAAAGGCTTGTGATGCCCCATCTCATTTGGGAACACAAGAATCCCAAATTACCACATCAACCTTTTTTGTATGCTTCTAGGGCTGCTAGATCATATGTTTATCTTTGCGACTTTGTTTACAATCCTCTTGCAGGTGTTCAAATACAGCAAGCACTGTAGAGTATGTGATAAATGTGTTGACCGCTTTGATCATCATTGCAGGGTAATTATATTATATACTATAATGTGAAATTGTGAACTGTAACGTCACACATCACGGAATAGTTTTTCAGACATGGATATTATCAGAATATGAGTGATTTTTTTCCTCGATATTTTGTTGTAGTGGCTAAACAATTGTATTGGCAAAAGGAACTATAGGAAGTTCTTCACCCTCATGGTTTCTGCTCTCGTACTGGTATGTATCGCCTTTCTTGCTTCGGGTCACGATACATAATCTTCAGTCTCCGAATTGTCCATAGACTATCCCCAATTTCATAATTGACATAAAATAAAATCCCCTGATAAGGTCTGTAATCTTCTTCTCCCTAATCCTTGCATGGGCTAAGGTCACTTAACTGGGCTATAATGCACATGAGCCAAACCACATTAAAAGATTGAATCCAACCAATTAGCTAGTCTAACCTATGGCCTTATAAACCCATATGTTATCTCTTATTTGATTAGACTCTAAACACTTCTGAAACAAAAAAAAAAAAATAATAAAAAAAATTGAGGGTCAACTCAGAACAAGCATTTTACTTTCAAGCCATTTTTTATTTGATTAACGATTGACAGGTCTACATGGTTTGTGCACCTTCGACTTGAGATTGCAGCTTATACTTCAGTGGTTGACTGGAATCCTTGTTCTGATCTGTTGCTTTATTGAGAAGAAGAGGTTCTCGGCGGATATCTCCTCTAAGCTAGGAAGCAGTTTCTCCATGGTTCCATTTGTTATTGTTGTGGTGAGTGTTATTGCAGCTTAGCTCAAATTTCTTGTCACGGGCACCGCACATTTGGTCTTTTACCTTTATCGAAAAGTTTTCATCTTGTCTTCATGATAGGCGGTCTGCACCATATTGGCAATGATTGCGACACTGCCACTTGCTCAGCTTTTCTTCTTTCACATACTTCTCATCAAGAAGGTCAGGTTTTCATCTTGCGGTGATTCTAATTAGCGAACTTCCTGTGCTCTGAAAGCTGACAAATTTATATACTTCGACCCGTGGGATCACAGGGAATTAGCACATATGATTATATCATAGCTCTGCGGGAGCAAGAGCAACAAGGGATTGGAGGTCAACAAAGTCCTCAAATGTCAACGGTTAGCTCCATAACGGGGTTAAGCAGTGCAAGCTCCTTTAATACTTTCCATCGAGCAGCGTGGTGTACACCTCCACGCCTCTTTCTCGAGGATCAGGTATATTTTATCGTTTTTTTTTGGGTCCTTTGTGGAAATTTTCATTTTACTCTGAAGTGGCATCTTATGTTGGGCGGAGGCCGGTGAAGGGCCAAGTCCAGCACCAGGTGGCTATGGGATTGTTGGGCGCCTGCCTCTCGAAAATGTGGTGGGCGGTATAAGGAAATAAGGTTGCGCTTTCCCTACTAACTATAGCTTTTGGCGTAGCGGTAAGTGCTTATGCCAACTTACCATCCACGTAAGCAGACAACCTGATGAAATTGACGGTAAACTGCTATCAGGTGAAATGGCATACATTTGGGGTGTTCAGTAGCCTAATTGCACTTTTTTTTGGTTCAGTGGCCTAATTGCACTTTCATGTTACGTTCAGTGGCCAATTTGGACCTTATTCCTTAATTCTAATATAGTTTTGCTTAAATGCAGTTCGATGTAGTTCCTCCGGACAACGGATCTGTTAGTTCACTTGGAAAAAAGACGTCGGTAGAGGAGCCGGTTAAGAAAAAGAACCCCGCTGCTGTGAAGATCAGTCCATGGACATTAGCACGGTTGAACGCCGAGGATGTTTCAAAGGCGGCAGCCGAAGCGAGGAAGAAGTCGAAAATTCTGCAGCCTGTTGTGAGACAGCAAACGCCTTACGACCTTGAAGCGAACAGTAGTTTCGGGAGCAGTGGGCGTCGAATGATCCCGAGGCCCGACAACAACAGAAGGCGACCCAGCAAGCGTGTCCGTCTCCCTACAGAGCTACCGTTCGAAGGTTTGGCGAAGCTTTCAAGTGAAGTTGCTCACAACAATAGTAGAGGTCCTATGATCACCGAGACATCAACAAGTTTGGCCCCTCTTCATCTTGAAGCCCGAAGCGCTTTTCGTACAAACCAGGCAATAGTCTCGAGCTCGGGAGGAGGCATTGCTGCTTCTTCCCCAGAGAGCAGCTTGGACTCCCCCGATATTCTCCCTTTCCGGGCCTCATCATCGGGAGCAGAAGAGGGTAGACATCTCGTGGGACTATCATCAACCTCCGGGATGAGTGTCCATAAAGAAATTCCGTTGTCGAGGTCAACTAGCGATGGATATGATGCATCGGGGGGTGAAGATAGTGACCGAGTTCCTAACCGATTTGTGCAAAGGTCAACAAAATGGAGTAGCCTTCTTTTCGGGTCTGACCAAAACGAGAGGGCCAGTAGGTTGATGGCACCATCATCTTCATCTACCCAAGCTAACACCAGAATGCTCTGAACTCTCCAAAACTTAACTATATATATATATATATATATATATATCATTTTGGTCTTGGCAAAGTAGTTGGGGGATTATATGAGATTTTTTCATTTATTGGCCAAAAGTTTGTGTAAAGGAACCTCCTGGCTTCACTTTGGCCTCTTGCATTTGTTATTGGGTTTAAAAGTTTGGCTTCCAGAGAAGAGTTGACAGGAAGGGCATATTATTGTGTGCAATTCTGTTGTCTGTCAACATTTTTCTGGGAATGTAATCCCTCCCTCTCTCCCAGCCAGGAACAATGTAAAATGTAGGCATTATGGATTCTAGCATTTGAATTTGAATGAAGACTTTGGTTGCCCCAACTCTCCTTTCTTTATAGGGAAAAGCATTTGCATCACATGATTCTAATTGATAGTATGACAGGTAGTCGTCAAAATAGGCTTTGCTCGTTGGCCCGTTCCCTACCTAGGTAGGGGTGGGTTTCGGGGAACGTTATGCTGTGCAAGGTGGGCACGGTTTCATATCCATGATTTTTATATTGTAGATTCATAATTTTTATACTGTAGATTCATAATTTCTATACTGTAAATTCATAAAATCTATATTTTAGATTCATAATTTCTAAACTGTAGATTCATAATTTAAATACAGTAGATTCATAATTTCTATACTGCAAATTCATAATTTCTGTACTGTAGATTAATAATTTCTAAACTGTATAGTTATCAAATTATGAACATATAATTCTGTGATTTTTGAAAATAGAGTTCAACAATGGGAAATATGAACATCGAAAATTATGAACATATAGCTTTATAATTATAAACACATATTTATAAAATTATGAACATATAGCTCTATAATTATAAATCTATAGTATAAAAATTATGAATATGGAACCATGCCCACCTTGCAAGGTGGGCACGTTTCCATAACATAATTTGCCGGGTTTCGGTTTTAGTGGCCCGCGGGGCTAGGTGGTAGCAGATTGGCAACCCCCTCTGTCAGGTTGGCTCAAGTGCAATGTGGATGCGGTTCTCCCCTGGTTTGGACAACCCATGTTATGGTACAGTTCTTTTCAATGAGAGGGGAGGCTTCATTGCAGCCTGGAACAGCCCTCTTATTGTGTGTTTAAGATCTAGATCCTTACATGACGAAGGCTTTGGCTTGGGCACTGTGGGATTATGTTCAAAGTGGAAAGATCCTTTATGCGCACTGATATTTGGTTCTGAGCCATTGAGTTACTATGATTTATCGAGTCGGAGTGCGAGGACTCTTGAGATTGAGAATTCAACCTTTTGGGAGGAGGATTATATAAACTTGTCAATATAAATGTTTCAAACAACCATTGCTACTAAGGTATTTTTTTTGTTTTAAATTGAATATGTTATAAACCATTAAAGTTAATACTCCGTACTAAACATATAAAAAATATATCATTAAAAAATTGGATTAAACAGGCAAATTTTTACATTTACATCGATGCATTACCAATTTTATATTCATATTTTTTTGGAGTGGCGAGGAAATCTCGCATCACCTTTCTGATTACCAAATCAACAAGCTCACTAACTTAGTTGGATTGCACATTTATATTCTTATATACCTAGTTAACTAGTTTAGGGACTAATTTTATTTTTATTCCATTTAAAAATGGGAGGGGTTAAAATAGAAACACCCGGGTATGGGGTGGATTTTTCTCCAAAATTAACTTACAAATCGAAATCTCTAATCTCCAGGAGCCGGTTAATTCAGTTGCCTGTTCGAGTGTTCGGGGAAAAAAAAGTTCTCATTTAGATTCATAGAAGATTGAATAGATGGTGTTTTTGCAGATCGAGTGCGAATTGAATCCCTAAATTGATGCAACGAAAAACGAAGTCCTTTCCCTAAGATGGAAACCTCTTCATGAGAAGTGCTCCTGCTCACTCTGTCACTTTTTGCTTCCTGGAGTTGAGCTGCCATCTTTTTCGGATCAGATCACGTGAATTGTTGGTACTTACAAAGGTATGCTTGAAATGCAGATCTGAATAGTTTTCTAGAAAGTTTTTAAAACTGTTAGTGCCCTCTTCTGTTGATCGGGGATTAGTGTGGTGATTTAAGTCCAATTGCAATGGAAAATCCAAAGGAAGTTGACCCAGAACTTCAAATTTTCGAATTGGAAAGAACTAACAATGAGTCAAGATTTGATGATGATTTTCATTCCATGAGTGCACTTGAAATTTTGAGAGAAACCGTGTGGATTCTTCGGTATAATTCGATGGGGTTCATATCTATCATGACTTTATTGATTCTCCCAGTATCTGCCGTGCTTTTGTCTAATGTCTTGGTTAATCAGTCCATTGTGATGAAACTGACAGTAAGGCTTTTGCTAGTGGTGAGATCGAGTGGAATTTCACTTGGGCATTTTGTCAAACAGTATGGTCATAAGTTTTCAGAAAAGGTGGTAGCTGCTGCAGTGTCTTTCCCTCTATGTGCTACTTTCTTGTTGCTGTCAAAAGCTGCAACTGTTTACTCAGTGGATTGCACTTATTCACGGGAACCGTTTGATTCTTTGAAGTTCTATCTGATAATCACAAAGATTTGGAAGCGAATTGTCTTCACTTACTTGTGGGTATGCACTGTTATTTCTGGTTGTGTCACTTTGTTTCTTTTGCTCCTTGTTGCTGTTAGCACCATGTTTTCCATGTCTGGATTACCATCAAATTTGATCTTATACCCTGCAGTGGTAGTTGGAGTGATCTTCGCAATAATTTTAGCAAATTGCATAGTTATTTGCAACATTGCTGTTGTGATTTCAGTGTTGGAAGATGTATCAGGACCACAAGCATTGCTTAGGTCCAGGTCCCTCATCAAGGGGAAAACACAGGTTGGTCTCCTTATATTCTTAGGAACAACCATTGGGATGGCATTTGTGGAGGGTTTGTTTGAGCATAGAGTGAAGACTCTAAGTTATGGGGATGGATCTTCAAGGATATGGGAAGGGCCCCTTTTGGTGGTAATGTACTCATTTTTGCTGCTTTTGGATTCCATGATGAATACGGTTTTCTACTTCTGCTGCAAATCCTATAGAATAGAAACATCTAATGAAGAGACTCAGCCAGTTCTGGAACCCTCTAAAATTTCTTCAACATCAACTGAAGTTCAGTGAAACTATGTTCTTGAATAATTGAATTTATTGTGACTTGCAAAGCCACCACAAGTTGCTTGTGAGCTGAATGGAGATGCTATCTGAAAGGTGGATTTGTCTATGTTGCTCTACTACTCTTTTTCCTACATGATAAAATGCTTCAGAGATACGAATTCTGCAAAAATGGGCAGTCAAAGAAATTGAATTGAAGACTGGTAATTGGAACTGCCTCTCTCTCTCTCTCCTTTAATCTTAAACGTCTTTTGGAAAACCTTGTTCATAAATTACAAGTATAGACCATGTATTATTGATTTATTGTATTATATATATTACTTCCTTTCACAATAAATAGTTTCCCTCAATCTAGTGTGGCAATTTTCTCTTTTTATTTCTTGTATTTGTCTGCTAAGTAGTTCCTGAAAATTAAGGATGTCTGTTATACTCTTAGTCTCTTACCCAATGGATAGCCTTGTTTTTAACTTTTAAGACATGTATTGCTGTAGCTCTGTACCCGTAGCCATTGATTTTGCTTAATCCTTGATATTGGCAATTTGTCATACATAAATGTATGGAGAGTGTATTAGGTGGAAGACTTGTTGGCATTAGCCTTTAGCCATAATTTGTACACTCTAGTATTTGGTTTCTAAGGATTTAAAACATATTTGAAAATAGTGAGTATTGATATGGATTTTACTGCACATGTACAGTATCTACTGTCTTGGAAAGTTAAATTTCTTGTTCAATATGTTAATTTGATTTTTCTTTTTTAATTAATTGGTAAGGGGTACATGATAGGTATTCAGGGATTTGAAGGTATTGGTATTATAAAATATCTCTTTGTTGCCATCCCTACTGAAAATGTTGGATTTTTTATGGGGGCGTTGTTGTTTTCAATTAGGGAGTACGTAGATCATGCAAATTTATAAAAATCTTGTGTTAATTGAACTTCAAGTTGCATTATAGGATGGATATAATAGAAGCATTTCCTTGTCTGAGAAAATGCCATATTTATAGTTGCAAATTCAAAATGGTTTGTTGTGCTTTTGCTTCTTTTTCCTATTGTGCTTCTGCTCAGGCTTTTCACTTTTGCCGAATGACTTGATCGATATCAAATCATTGAACAATTTATAAATCACATGAACCCAGGCTTTGAATGTCTGCAAATAGATAGGTTTGTGGTGTTCGCTTATTGGTTATGCTAATCACATAGCAACGCATCAGCATACATCAGCTACCTGCCACGTATTTTGAAAGATTTCCTCATAGCTAGCTAAGGCGAAAGAATCTCCAGGTAACACCTCATTTTACTATACAAGTATGCTTATCTGAGAATGTTTGTGATAAACTTTAATTTGTTATTCTTTGACCTCTTAGCTGCATGCTGTCTTTTGCCCTTTTTTTTTTTTTTTTTTTTTTTTTTTTTTTTTCGCTCTTCTAGTCCAGCCTTGCCCATATGGAGGAGTTATAAAAGATAACCAAGTAAATGTGGGTATAATTATGTTATATATATATAATATCGTTTTGGTTTAAAGTTATGAGATAACCTATGGTACATTATTGTAAGATCATATTTTGAAATTATGTCAAGATAATATGATTAACTTAATATCATAGTTGCCCTTATTTTTAATAGTCCAAAACCCCATTTAACAGAGATGGGAAGAATCACCACTTTCAAAATAATTGAGAGGGCTAATGTGGATACATGAATAATTAAAGGGGAAAAAAAAAACACTATAAGCATACATATAATTCAGGGGGAAAGTGTCATTTTCCCAAGAAATAACTACCTAGCATCTCTTTTTTCTTCCCCACTCCACCTCCTTCATAGCTATGAAACTTCATTAATGACTTCCAATAAAAACTAAATGATCATTGTACATGTATTGTGGCATCAAATAGTGAAGGTAAATGCCAAGACCTTGTAGTCTAGTGGCACCAAGTTGCTCTCCTATATGGGAGGTTGTGAGTTCGAGCCTTAGTGGAGGCGCTATTGACTCTTTGTGTTTTAGTAGGTTGAAAAAGTAGTTATGAACATATATTACATCGGATACATGTTCATTTTTAGTATACTGAATGCTCATTTTTAATTTAGAAAATAGTTGCTAGTTGATTGAGTTAGTTGGTTTAATTAGCTGATAGTATTAGTTGGTTGTAGAAATGTGTTTTGATAAATTAGCTGTTTATTCTTAGTTGATTACATGTAAAAATAACCCATAAAAACACTAATAATAATAATGAGAGTTGTGGCTCCCTTTTGTGATGTTGGATCAAAATTTGATCCCACATCAATTTTCTATGTAATTTGGGGTGTTGAACTTCTATATAAGAGGACTCTTGCTTTTAATATTGCCCATCCGATGTTCCCACATTGGATGGGCAACAAAACGGGAGCCCAAGACTCTTTTTACACCTTTATGAAAGGAACTTTAGATGAAGTAGTTTTTTTATTAAAAATAAAAAATAATTCTTGAGAGAAGTTGTGTTTTGGAGAAATAATTTCTTTTTCCAAAACGTTAAGTTGAAATGCTGTTCAAACCAGCATTTTGGTTTGGATGATTAGTCATTTACCAAACAATGTCTAAATGTTTATTTTTAAGTAGAATACTTAAAAATGAACTTTTAGTATATTAAAATTTAATCTTTAAAAAGTAAACAATGTATTAAAAATGAACACTCAATGCAGTAAAAATGAATCTTATGGCAGTGGTTTAATGATTGAATAGTGAGATTCTTGACTTGGCTTAGCTGAAAAAAGGTTGTGGTTTTCCATTTCGGGTTTTCACGTTAAAATCCTTTACTCATTTTATTTATTTACATTATCTAGCTTAAAGAATGGTTTATGTTGTGATCATAGGACTAATTTATCCTAAAAATGTGTGTACTTTATTTATTTATATGTATATAAATGCACACGTATGTGTATATTTATTTATATAATTAAAAAGATAATCATCAATCAAACTATGTTAATATTATACGGAGTACTTTTCAATCTTAACCAAGCAAAAATCGAATACATTCATGATTTGGTTCAATGAATGTTTTGATGTAATTTAATATTCTCATGAATCTCATATAGTCTAAGAATTTGGGGGCAATACTTCTCAAAAATGTCACAAAAAATTAAGTAAAATACAAAATTTAGGAAAATTTAACATTTCCTTAACCAAACAAGAGGTGAAGAGTATATAATACATTTATGAACTATTAAGTGATGTGAAATAATTTGAACCTAATATTGTGTGATTCAAAAGACATTCTTTTTAAAGCGGGAATATATGCAGTACAAGTTTAGTGTTTTGCCAATATCTAAGGTAAACAAATATTGTAAATTGCAAAAGGTATCTATCAGCAATAGCTGTATAGTTACTAGAAGACAATGATAAAGCTTGTAGCTTCTGCGGGCATGTGTGGGGATTGGGGAAGGAACAGTTTTACATCATTTTATAATTTTATCACTCTAAAGTTACCAGTTTCACTTGGAATTTCACATCCTTGGTACCAGTGTAAACACAAAAATGGAATTTTTATATGTATAACAAAAAATTCGAAAATCAGGTTACAACAAGTATCAAAAGTATGGGTAAATTCTCTATGTAGTCTCCTGATTTTTCACTGAACATCTCAATCGCTCTATTGAAGTGCTTCCAGATTTCAAATGGCTTGATCTTTAGCTTGTTCTTTGTTGAAAGAACTTCGAATTCAATTGGTTTGATCTTCATTAGAAAACATCAAATTCAAGATTAATGTCAACCTTTGTAGAGCTTCAATATGCTTCTCCTAAAAGGTTAAATCTCTAACGACAAGGCCCGACCCGACAGAACATTTAGGAGGATGTAATTTGTAAATCACAGTGACTCAATAACTCAGCAGACAGGGCCAAAGGCTGGTGCGCACAAGTGATCTGCCCTCGCCATACTGCAGTCTGCCATTGACGAGGTTTGAACCTTGGTCTCTTTTCTCAAATACTGCCTACTGAATCAGTGAGCTAAGCCCGTACGGTCAAACCTAAGACTATTTTGTTGATGGGCCGTTCTGTGTCCGATTGCGACACCACAGGCTGTAAGGAATCTCTGCTGCATCTCATCAACACTTGACTTCCCATCTTCCTCTCACTAATCTATCTTCTTCTACATCTATTGCTTTATATTTTTGTTGTATATGAGTCTTCAACAATAATTTTTGTGGAACTGACAAAATTTGAATGTCATGGTTGAAAATATGCCAACTTTTTGAAAGTTGGACAATACTTCTTTGTGAAATGCATTTCACCTATTTTTTAAAAATTTGTTTAGACTAGGCAAAAATAGAAGTTGACGTGAAGCACATTTAGTGAGTAATAATGAAAGCTAACAAATAAACATATTATATAACCTGGGTAGTATAATTGTGATAATTGTTTGGAAAATGTAAGTCAATGGACTTTATTTGTAGTTCTCAAATATTTATTGGCCCGGCAAAAGCTGGTTGCTCTCACATTGTGGCCAGTGAGACTCGATTTCTAGTCATTTTTTTTAAATTTTACCCCTATGACCAATTGAGCTGTCTATCCGGGCATTTGGCCTCTATTATTTAAATGTGATATGCTTGAGTTAGAGACTTTTATAATTAACTACATATCAATACTTATTTTACTATTATATATATATAGTGGGTTGGGTGGGGTTTTATGCTGGTTTTGTACATAGAGACTGAATCCAACCCGATCTATTGCCTGCAGGTTTACTTTTTAAAGACTCACTATCCACTATCAAAAAAAAAAAAAAAAAAAAAAAAAAAAAAACCATACAAGGTGGATTCGGGTAGATATCCACGGGGCGGAATGAAATTATCATCCCTAGAGATAAAAGCTAAGGAGACAAGGATTTTTCACCAAAAATTTTCAAGACTCATTTTATTCATTGGTTATCGTGAATTAATCATCCTTAACAAAATGTTAAGAGATCGAACATTGACCTTGGGTATGTAGTAGCTTTAAATTTTCAAAAGTACTTACAATTTAACGAAGAGATCAGTCACTGTATCTGATAGTGAATACTCTAAAATTTTTTATTCTTTTTTAATACTATCAACTATATTACAATGTTATCCTACCACTATGATTTGATTCTGTGACCTTACTTCAAGAAAACTAGAGCCACAGAAGCACAAATTGAGTACAAGATGCTTGACAAAAAAAATTACTTATAAATCAAATACATAAAACAATATTGATTGTTGTGGCATCATCCTTTTCATTTTGATAATTGAGAAAATGACAAGTGTAAGTGATGTCCCCACCAAGTGTGAGTGTAGGCATCAGAGATAGATTCAAAGGCTCATTAATTGAGTAGAGGTAGAAAGAAGGTAGAAATGAGAGACAAAAAGGGAGTGGAAAAGTCAGAGCTTTACGAGGCTTTACTATAAAACCCATCGTTTCTTGGCGTTTGTTTTGTTCCATACTC